GTATGCACATATGCACGTATGCACGTATGCACGTATGCATGTATGCATGTATGTATGTATTGTATTTGCCTCTACCACGCGCCAGGTTAACGAATGAGGGAAACCAGCGAAATGATCGTCCCGCGCCTAAAATTTAAACCATAAATTTTAGAAAAGACAACTGTTACGAGATGCCTTATATTCAAGTTAATTTCCATGCTCTCTGTATCAAAATTTAAATGATTATAGGGCGTTTAAATGATGCGGCCATGCAATTGTCAGTGAATTGTAAAAATTGATCAGCTCAAGCAAACAGAACCGAATGCTTCGAGAACGTCGTCTTCTGAGGTTTAATTTACGTGGATTAGAGATTTCTCTGAAATCAAAACCAATGGGGTAATTGTATTTTAGAAAGAAGAAACATAATTTATGGAAACATAATATTTTATCTGTACGTTATTTACAGACTTCTATCAAAATCATAAAAATTGTAATAAAGATAACAATGATCATATAAACGTTTTACTCATAAATACAAGTTGTGGAGCCTCAATTTTCAAATCTTGTGAGTTTTTCACATACATTAAAGTGGTGTTTTTGATAATGGACTTTACATAAAAAACGTATGAATGAAATATCACCAAGAAGCTTTTGAGCGGTGTAATGTGTGAGAAGACATTCGATGAAGTACTATTATTTTTCATTAAAAAAGTAATTAAATACGCACATTTAAAAAACTGAACGCAAATTTATTTTGACATTAAAAGTTTTTATCAACCAAGACAAAAACAGTACAATTTCAGATCTCTATCAGTCACACAGAAACTATCATTACCATATGCGTTTACCCTTTCTACCATTCCCAATAGAGAAAAATCACTGCCTTTTGAATGTCTCACTGTGGCCTCGAAACATCCCCCTCCTGGTTTTGTTTCAAACAACACAAAATAGTCACCTTCATGTTTACCATTCACCTTCTGCTTAGCTGTAAGTACTCGATGCATAAAGAGTTCTGCACAGCCTTTAGCTTCCAAGGAATTTCTAATTTTGTTTTGTATTTGAGATAAAACAAACTTCGCAGCATTTTGCACAACAACATTCTTTACTGGTAAATTGCGGTAGTTGTAGTCAGTACATGTACACCACTCAGGGGATATCCCAGCATCATGACAAGACCTATCTCCAAAATCCTCTGAAAACAAACTCTTGCACTTAGGACATCCAAGAGATACTTTTCTTCTTGCAACAGTGGAGTTCATACCTCTCGCTATGACATCTTTTAAAGTAACATACAAGTCAAAGGGGGAAGTTAGTCGATTTCTATTTCTTTGCAGATTTTGATAAGCTTCGGGATATTTCTTTATAAACAAATTTGGAAGAAAAATATAAACAAACGGCGATCGTGATTCAAACCACCCGATATGTGTTTGGCGAATACCATCAAAACTCCTTCCATGGTCACTAACAAATACAATTATAGTGTTATTGTAAGTGTCGGTTTCAGCTAACCTTTGGAAAAATTTAAGTGTTTTCACATCCATGGCTCGTGGATTATTCAAATCATTATGGCTGAAATTATTCAGCCAGAAATAAGCGAAATAAAAATATTTTTTGAAAGCTGCCACAAATCGTAAAGCATAGTCAAACATATGATCTGCTGCTGAAATTGGCCCAAGACACAAGTTCGTATAATCCCGTCTTCTAACCGGAAGCTTCATTTTTGCAACAAGAATGTTAGCTGGAAAGCAATAATCTAACGGTTGGTTAAAAAAACGTATGTTATTATGTGTATCTTGACCATAAACTGTCACATAATTGTGTTTCTTAAAATCTTTCCAAACGAAAGGGCTATCATCAACCCCACTTTTGTTCCACTTTACTACCACCTGCTGAGGAGACATACCAGTTAAAAAGCCCATCACATTTGGAGCTGTACCATATCCAATTTTGTTGTAACCTTGCATATCTACATACCCAACACGCTTCAGGTAAGAAACAGTTTTTGGCATTGTTCTCAAGAGATTGAGGCGAGATATGCTATCGTACCCCACTATGATTACGTTAAACCAGGAATCATCGTCAGGAGACTTCCTTTTTCTTCTCTTTTCAGCAACAATAGGTTTTATAGGAACTACTGCATGCATATTTACATATACTTCTGTCTCTTCCTTTGAGTACATTATGTTGTAACGGTTGTAACTTTTTCTAACGATACACCGGACACGAATAAATTCTTCTGTGGCTTTCAGCTGTACTTCTTTTGCAAAGACCTCGCATTTCCCGCTTCTGAAAAACAAAATTAAGATTATTTATTCATTTACAGTTGATGCAGAGTATAACTTCACAATTGTGTTTTAATATAATACTACCTAATAATTATTTATGTAATTATTAGTCATTAATATCACTATGCAAATTATATATTTACATACTCTTTAATATTATTAAATATTTTGTTTTTAAAATAACGAAAGTTTGTTGTAAAATTTGAAAGTTAATTGAAACTGTAAAGAGAATGTGGATTTCTCGTTTAAAAATATTCAGAAAAAACAAATTAATTTCTCTCAATGTTAATTTTAAAAATGGAATCATAATTTTATCATAAAGAAAAAGTTCCCAATACTGTGGACAGGCAAAGAATAATTGTAATCATGTAATAACCAGTGCATATTGTACGGGAAATCGCTACACATTTACATGTCAAAGTAAAAATACAACACCAAAGTGCGTACATTGCAAAGGGGAACATAATGTTGAATTTAGTTTTTGAAATTGTCCTTACTATTGCGTTAGATACGGAAGGAATATTAACAAAGTAAAGAGCAGAAATAAAACAACCACCAACCGAGAGTCACATCCTATTCCCCCCAAAACTCAACAACCTAATTTTCAAATATGCTAAATTCTAAACCCATTCACAATTTCCCAAACAAAAAAATGCCCCACCCCTTAATTCAACCAATGCTCGTACCCAATATTCCACCTACGCTCAGAGTGATAGTAATTCAGACTGCTCCAATCACGTTATCCCTTTCTGCACACAATAATAAATACGATAAAATCCTGTATAATCAATTTAATTAATTAATTCATTAATTCCTTCTATGCTTACAAAATGCAAAGCTCAGTATAATCTTAGCAACAGCTATAGCAGTTCATCTTTACAACAACCTAACCCTCATAAATTGGAACGCAAATGACATTACAAATTAAACTAGGTTCCACAATAGCACATATTTGTTCACAATATTGTAATGTTATCGTTATGTAATATTATGTCGCAATTTCTTCCATTCTTACACTTAAAAATCACATTATCTCATAAATACCAGCCATTTTTTTATTTTACAATTTATACTAAAGATTATTCTGGCAGTATATTAAGAAATTCAGTGTATTCACGTATTAACGAATCATTTTTTAGCCTTAAAATATTATGCTTAAGCAGTATGCGAGAAAGTAAAGGAAAATTAAAAGTTAATTTGTACCATCTAAGGGCGGAGGAGGCGGCAGAGGATTTCTCTTCAGTATTGTTACCAGCGTTGCTCTAGAGCAACAATGGAATGTATGTTTTCATACACATTTTAAACGCCTAAAACATTTTAAATACCTACGGCTGAATCTTGATACCAGACTAAATTGGAAAAATCACATAACAGTAAAAGCACAGCAAGCCAAAATAAAATTAATTCAACTAAAGCCACTCTTAAATCGCAATAGTAAGCTCTCATTAAACAATGCCATCACCATCTTTAAATCAATAATTGGACCCCTAATGCTTTATGCATGCCCTATCTGGATCAATGCCTCAAAAACGAATATTAATAAATTACAGATCATCCAAAATAATTTCCTCAGACTTGCCACTCATGCACCCTGGTTTATCTCAAATATTCAACTGCATAAAGAATTTAATTTACCTCCTATACTTTACCATATCGCGCTCCTATCTAACAATTTCTTCTCCAAAATTAACACAATAACCCAAGCCACCCA